GAGCTCGTGGCGCTGGACCCGATCCCGTACTCGCCGACCTCGGACATCACCATGGACGACGTCGACCTCGCCGTGCTGGACGCGTTTGTATTTGAGGACCCCATCAACATCGACGCGTGGCTGGACGAGCGCAATTTCGAGTCGTTCAGCGATACGCTCACGTGCGAGGACATTGACTCGATGTGGACCTTCCTGTGATCCAAACCTGGCTCCTCTGCGCTGATTGTTGTAATTGCTTGTCTAAGTACGCGTCTGTCTCGTTCTTGAAATCGTGTTGGCGCTACCGTTCATTCTTGTGCAAGGGGATGTTCCCGCCACCCATCATCTAGGAGGCTTCAACCGCCGCGAACCGAACGGGTGCGACACATGCGTCGACGAGGCCTCTCCGACACACGCTTCGTACTCGAAGCTTTGGATCGGCGCTCGTCGATACAGCAATCTTGGAGCGTCCCTCGTCCTCTCGTTGAGCAATATCATTATACTGGTCGACCAATTAATTGTACCGGTATGAACGCCTTCAACGCAATTTAACGCGAAACCGTACCGTACGTGAGAGGGCGGGTTTTATGCTGCGTGAACCCAACCCGCGCGTGGCGTCGACACGTTCGTTGCATTGAACGTCGCGTCGACAGCTTCCGTGCGGTATCCGGGGTTCTTTGGCACCGGCTTGTGGTTTGGAAAGTGCGTTGTGGCGGACTGGACGAGAAAAGTAGCGGCGTTTCCAGAAGCGCTGCGAAATGATATGCTGCGTTTCCACCAACTACGGTACGTTAACTTGCGGGTATACCAGAAGCACAGCCATCCAAACGACACTTTTGTAATCATCGAGGGAATTTTTCTATTTTCTTTGTAAACGTCGACGAGTGTTTGTGCAATTCTCTCTAGTTCCGATGTTGAGCAAAAGATCATCTCGATGCTGACTCCGAGCAGGCGGGTACAGTAGGGATATGCAGGCGGAATGACAGAAGCCGAGTGCACCCACTTTACACTTCGCGCGACGAGACGCCCATCACAAATCCTTGGTCGGTTCTACACTAGTAGATACATGGTTACTATAAAGGCGGACAGAAGCTACGGAGGCGCGCGTCGAGGGCTGTCTTGCGGCCACTTCGACGCCTCGCTGCCGAAAGATCGACGAGCGTATCGTCATTCGGATCTGAATCCGGTTCCGTGTCAGGTTTCGTGTGAGCAACCGATAATGTGCAGACATTTGGGTAGCCAGTGCTGCTGACGACATTGCGCAAGGCCCTTGTGCGCCAAACGCCGGGGCTTCTGGCAAACGATGCCTCAAGGACGTGGCATCGGTGCTGTATTTCGTCGTTAGGCTGCGAATTTGAATTCAAGCAGAGGACGTATCGAAGGATTGCCATTGGCCGTTCTGTCAGTAGCGCGAGCTTGGAAGAGTGCACTGCTGCGATCGCCAATTCGTGTCACCAAGGACTCTGCGACTGGTGGTCGTGTCGAGGTGTTGCTTCGACTGCATCGCCATGCTGGCGATCAAACCGAAGGCGGTGGTTTCCAACCTGCAGTGAGGGACCTTAAAGCTACATGTAATTCATTCCCTTGGCTTGTGAGCACGAGAGGGAGAGACGCAACAAAGCGAGCTTTTACTTCAGGTAAATATCCTTCTGGTTCCCATTTGGGAGGTACAATCCCTGCTATCCATTCCAGTAGATCTATTTCGACCCGACTCTGTCCCTCGAAAAGAAACCAACGTCCATCAGCACGCGCAACACGCGTATCCGGATGCCAAGAAATAAATCAACTTCGCGATCCCCTGCACCGACACGCGACCAAGAATTGCCTTATGTAGTATCTTGGATGACGTGGGTGCGCCGCGGGGTGGGTTGCCTTCCCTTGGTTGCCTTACCCGGCACTTTGGCATCCAACGCCTCAATTGCCTCGACCATGTACAAGGAGTTATTCTTGCTCGAGCATTTTGTCGCTGCGTGGAAAGCTAGCGAAACACGCGTTTGAGCTCTGCTGCTGGACGTTGGATGATGAGCACCTCGCACCTCCGGCGTGCACGTACACACAGAGCAGTACCCAATACTACCAAGGTAGCTCGTAGCTTGGTGGAAACCATGGGTGGAAACAACCCCCCGCAAAATACGCATACCGGCACTGCGCCGCGACCGAATCAATCCGCTCGCGCCAAACCCGTCCAAGGCACTTTTTAAGGCAATTGAGAAACCATATCCGGATGATTCGCCCTGGTCCCGATACAAATGTAGCATTTCATTTCTCATTTGCTCGTTCGCATGGCATCCTCTCGCCACGTGAGCTTTGGCGCGGCCATCGAGTATTTCTTCACCGTCGGCTTCAACGGCAGCGCGCTGCCGCACGACGCTACGCCGGGTGTCGGCCTCAACGGTCCGCCCATCGCGAGGCGCCAGACCGACCTTTCGACAACATCAGTCGACGTCGTCCACGCGGTGCTGCGCTACTCGGCCAAGGACCGCCTCTTCTTTTTGAAGCGCGCGGGCTTCACCAAGGACGACGTGACGCAGCTGAGTCTACGCCAGCGACAGCTCCGCATGGACCTTCTGCATTCGGTCGCCGACGCACAGAAAGAGGCACGGATCCGCAAGCGACGCGCCGAGAGCTGTAAAGCGCTGTTGAAATGCAGACGTCTTGCCCTCTAAATCTTTGGTCGTCATGTGTTGATGATGGCGTCTAGTTTATTTCATTTAAAAGTGGCATATGCCGAATTCAGACGGAGGTTGGTCCACGTGCGTGTCGCAAAAAAAAGAATAACCCTACACCTAGTATATATTACCCCGTACACTCTAGAACGACATGGTCGCGCGCTGGAGCTCGTCTTCCAGTGCGGTAATAATCTCGTCGGGCGTCGGGCGCAGCTGCGGGTCCCACGCGACACACTGCAGCCCCATCTCTCGAAACGGGCTCTCAGATGGAAAGTGCGGCACAAGCGACTGGTCCTGGACGCGCTGCATGATCTCAAAGTCGTTGAGCGGCCGGCCTTTCGCCGTCACCTCCTTTGCGAACGGCGTCAGGTGCGTCTCGAGCTCGACGAAGATCATGCCGAGCGAGTAAATGTCGGCGGCCACCGTGTACGAGCTGCCAGAGTAGACCTCGGGGGCGGTCCAGCGCAGCGTCCCAGCCCCCTGCGTCATGAAGACGTCGGTTTCGCGCGACCCGTTAAAGTCGGTGAGCTTGACCTGCATGTTGGAGTTGACAAGCACGTGCTTGCACTTGAGGTCGCGGTGGATGATGCCCCGGGCGTGGAGGTACTGGAGCCCGGTGACAATGTCGATGGCGTACCGCACCTTCTCGGTCCAATGCATCTCGTGCACCGGGGTACGCGCGAGGTACTGCGCGAGGTTGCCATTGTCCATAAACTCGTAGACGAGTTGGACGCTCTCTGAGACGTTCTCGGGCGAGTAAATAACGCCGTACATGGCCACAATGTTGGGGCAGTCGAGCCTACGCGGCGTAAGGATCCAAGTAGAGACCCGCGTACTACGTACTTCATGAGAATTTGGATCTCATGCACAAACTTGGCCGTCGCGTTCTCCATCGAGTGCACTTTGAGGCTCTTGACCGCAACCACCTCGTCGTCGTAGACGCCGCGCCACACCTCCTTGTCTTGGCTCTGCGCGAGCTGCTCCGTGAGTGTGAGCTGCGCGCCGTCGAGACGCCAGAGCTCGAGCTCCTCCAAGAGGTCGGCGTCGGCTTTGGCCGCGACGACGAGGAAGCTGCTGTTTTCGTTGCTGTAGATCGTATCAAAGGCCGGCATGTACGCGTCAAAGCCTTCTTCAATGTCGCACGACTGCTCGGTCACGCGGGCCGAGAACGTGCCACTTGGCGGCGGCGGCTTGGCGGCTTCGTGCGAGTAGTAGCCTGCCGACTCTGGAGCGTTCGCCTCCATGTGGTGGAGCGACTTGTGCGTCTCGGCCCACATGAGCGAGTCGAGTTGCTCCTTGTGCTTCTTGCGTCGACGCAGGACAAAAAACGCAATGGCGCCGACGCAAACGAGCGCGCCGACCGCCAAGACGAGGTAGCCCACCGTGCTCATCACGCCTACGTAACGTTGGGTGAGCCTTTGCTCGAGGTGGACGCATCAGATGGTACCGCTCGAGTTGGAGGCGGCGTCGGCCGGCTGCTGCACGGTCGTGGTCGTGGGTCGTGGCGCCTCGGTCGTGCTGCCGTTGGATGACGGCTCGACGTCCCGCGACGCCGGCGCTGAGGTCGCCAACGTCGCCGATGGCGTGGCG